CGGCGGCGGCGGCAGAGGCGGCGGCGGCGGCGGCGGGCTCGGAGGCAGCGGTTGGGCTCGCGGCGAGCGGACGGGGTCGGGTCAGTGCGTTCGCGCGAGGTGAGAGCGGGCAGGGCGCGCGTGCGCGGAACCTTGGCTTGGGGGCTGGAAGTAGACTTGGAACTGCGAAGGGATCAGGGAGGGGGCAGAGGGAGCGGCGGCCGCCGCCGCGCGAGATGCGGTCGGCGAGTGGCGCCGTGTGCGGAGTGGCGCGGCCGCGCGCCCTGGCTGGCTTGCAGGGTGACGGTTAGGGCCGGCCGGGTGACGTTGGAGCGACGCAGGGCGGGGACGGCGAGCCGCGAGGCCGCCACGCGGGAGAGGCCGCCGGGCGGCCACGCCGGGACAAGGCTGCGGGCCAGATCGGCCCGCTGGGGCAAGGGGTACCTGGGCCGTTGAGTACCGAGCGCCGCGCGGCCACGTGAGGTGGGGGAGGGGGCTCTTCGGTGAGAGGACATGTGGAGGGGTGGTTGGCGGCCGGCGGGGGGAGGGGAAGCGGCGTGGCTCCGGCCCGGCGTGGCCTGGGGGGGGTGACCGTGGCACCGGAAGTGCCCCCCGCAGAGGCTGCCTTCGGGGTCGGAGGCCGCATGGCCGAAAGTGGACGGGGGCCGCATGGCAGCGCTGGGACCCCTCCCCCTCAGCCACCGGAAGCCCCGGGCGGCCACATGGTGGGCGGGAGTCGGCAACCCCCTTCGCTGCTTAGAGTTGGTCTTTGGGAGCGCCTCGAGGGAGCTTGGGATTTTCAGAGAAGCCCGAAGTCCGGATCTTGAACCCCGGCTGGCCTTCTGCGGACATATGTTAGCGCGCCCCCCACCTCGTGGGCACTTGAGGCTCCCCCCTCTCCCCCACGCCGCCTCATCTGAAGCGAGGCTGCCGGCCGGGAGTAAGTGGCGCCCCTCCGTGTTGGTAGGACAGAGAAATGGAGAAACTGAGGGCAGTTGGACAGGAGCCCAACTCTTCTCCGTAGTGGCGACGCGCCTTAAACTCCTTGTAGAGTTCCCCGTTGTGATAGGTGCTCTAAACCTTGTCGCTGTCTTTCCTCGTATTTATTTGCAAAACCATGGTTTTAGTGTCCTTAGCTCTGCTACGCTAGGGTAATTTATACTACTCATTACTACCAGCCATTTTGGGTTTTTTGGGTGTTGGTTTTTTTTTCGGTCATTCACTCCCCCACTTGACTGTACTGGCCCGGCCTGAAAAGCAGACAGAACCGATGCATCATGGGGAAAGTGGGAGGTTCCTAGAGGAGAGGCTGGGTTCCTGGGTTCCCTTTGGGAAACTGGATCGAGGTATTGGGCAAGGGAATCTGTTAAAAAACTACTTTCTCCCCCTCTGCAGCACGTGTAAATGCGTGTTGAAGAGGTGGGAATCCCCCAAAGAGGCCTCGTGGTTTCCTGTACCACAAGGTTGGCTTATGTGGATAGAGTGGGGGGTATAACAGATGGGTGGGGCCCAGTCCTCTGGCCTCCCCCCATTAGCCCCGCCCTTTTGCTGGCTCATGGCTGCTCACCTAATTATAGCCCTGGTTATATGTGGGGACAAGGGGTGATTGGTTTCAGTGGCAAGTAACACCTGAGTCCTCCTCCTCCCCGAATTAGGTCTTTGCCCATCTCGATTTGAAATCTTAACTCCCTTAGAGCCTACTCCCATGCCACTGCTTTAATGTGGACTCATTCTCAGGAGTGATCTGTATCCACAGACACACACCCGTTCTTAAGTATTTGTGATCTCATTCAATAACCTAGGCACTTTTGACTTTAGTTGGGAAATGGGATGAGGGGGAACTGAAGCAACCTTGCCAGGGTGGGATAAACTGGAGGCCCAATTAACTTCCATCTTTATTGACGTCGATTCTCTTAACTTTAGTTGGAATCGAAGCCTCTTAAAAAATGGCAGATGATTTGGACTTCGAGACAGGAGATGCAGGGGCCTCAGCCACCTTCCCGATGCAGTGCTCAGCATTACGTAAGAATGGCTTTGTGGTGCTCAAAGGCCGACCATGTAAGATTGTGGAGATGTCTACCTCCAAGACCGGCAAGCATGGCCACGCCAAGGTTAGAATTTTACGTATTCGCATCTTGGCTTCCTCAAACGTGTACATATCAATGAGCTTCTGGCAAGCAGGCTTTGCTGTTCTGGACCTATCCATGTTCCTTGACCTCTTCCAGTCTTTGTCTTCAGCACTCAGGCCTGGATTTCTTTCGGAAACTATACTCTTTCCCTGGCTTTATGCTTCTGCTTTAGTCTTTCTCTTGTACCCCATCATTCTGGAGGTTTGAACTTTCCTAGTGAATCTTTTTTGCTCTATTTAAGTTATTCTTATTCCTGACTTTTGTTATTTGTCATCCCTTGAGCTTTTCCTGGTGCACTTTTACCATGACTTTACCCAGTGATTCTCTAATTCTAACATAAAACCTAACAAAATAATTCAGTATGCCTGAGTTTCCAAATCGCCTTGACTGACCCATTTCCTAGCTTTCCTTTCAGAGTTCCACCATTCTTTCTAGATTTCTTAAACAGTATCAAACTGCCACTTATTCTAAGTTCCTGGCCTCTCCACCTTGCTTTTTCAGTTCTAGCATCATCCTTTAGTGGTGGGGCCAGCTTTGACCAGGGTTGTCATGCCAGTCACACCCTGTAGTGTTTCGAACACCATATGGTACCTGGACTTGGGGCCTCATATGCTAAGTATGTACTCTACAACTTGAGCCATTTCCCCATCCCAGTATCTTTGTTTTTCCTGCATGCCTCTTTTCTCTAACAATTTTAAAGAGAGGGTAGGATGTTAGCAGTAGAGTGCTTGTTCTTGTGAAGCTGGAAAAAGTTGGATCTGATTCATCCCTGGATTTCTTGAGGTTTTATTTCATCAGTTTTTCATCTCCTATTGACTTGGCATTCCTGTTGGGCTAATATCGTCTTGCTTTCCTGATTGCATAGTTCTGGTCTCCCCCAAATTTTCTTACCCTATTTTCACCTTCCCTTCTCATTCCTGTTTCCTCATCAACCTTAGGAATTTAAAGAAAATTTTGTACATACTTAGACAATTTAAAGAAAATTCTGTACATACTTAGACCTAAGTCTCCAGTTTCCCCAAGTTCTTGGTTTTCAATGTTCTGGTAACTCAAGGTGACTTTTTGGTTTGCCAATACCAGCTCTCCACCCTCGCTCCTACCCCACCTCCATTCTCTCCCCCCCACCTCCCAAAGATTTTCTTGAATGCTGTTAATCCCAGTCTCGGTGAGTTTATATGCTTTTAGGTTCTTTTTTTAGAATTTTTTTCCTTGAGTTGATTTGGTTCAGTTCTAACTTTGTCCCCAATAATGTAATCCCTCAACAACCAGGAAAAGCTTGAGCTGTCCTTCATCCCAGAGTTTGCCTTGGTTTTTCTTTAATGTGATATACATACAGGTCCACCTGGTTGGTATTGACATCTTTACTGGGAAGAAATATGAAGATATCTGCCCATCAACTCATAATATGGATGTCCCCAACATCAAAAGGAATGACTTCCAGGTATGCTAGATGGTGTAAGCCTAGGTGGGTTAATGGTTAATTAAGGGGAACTAGAGACTCTCCAGAAAGCTTCAGTGGCATTTGGGAGAGGAGGAAAATGGCAAAACAGTATTTAGTAATAGTGTCCCACCCAGTTGGTACCTCAGACCCTTTATCCTTACTTGCCTTAAGCCTCCTTCCCTATCTGCCCCCAGCTGATTGGCATCCAGGATGGGTATCTATCACTGCTCCAGGACAGTGGGGAGGTGCGAGAGGACCTTCGCCTCCCCGAGGGAGATCTTGGCAAGGAAATTGAGCAGAAGTACGACTGTGGAGAAGAGATCCTGGTACGGTGCTTGATATCCCTTTCCCCCGTTGTTGCTCTTTGTGCCTTTTACCTCTAAACTTAGACTTCTGCTCTTTTTCTCCCTCCCCCCAGATCACGGTGCTGTCTGCCATGACAGAGGAGGCAGCTGTTGCAATCAAGGCTATGGCAAAATAACTGGCTCCCAGGTGAGTTGGACACTTGGCCCCAACCTTTTTACGTTAATTGTCCTCAGTCTTAAAATTGCTCAGGTTTCTTTTATGCCCATGTCACCTCATCCCTCTTGCTGTTGAAGACCTCATTGTCTTACTTGGTTTCTCTCTCCTACCTAGGGTGGCGGTGGTGGCAGCAGTGATCCTCGAGCCTGCAGAGGCCCCCTCCCCCAGCCTGGCCCGGCTCTGGCCAGGCCCTTGGCTGGATTCCTACACAATTTATTTGACGTTTTATTTTGGTTTTCCCCACGCCCCAGACTGTCGGGGAGTCCTTTTCCTTTACCCTGCTCCCTTGGCCAGGAGTGAGTGAGCTGTGGCCTTGGCGACGCTGCCCTCCTCTTCTCCCCTCGCACTACAGCCCTGGTGGGGGAGAGGAGTGGGTGCTGCTTGTGGTTTAGTTGGGTTTTTTCCTTTTTTTTTTTTTTTTGGTTTTGTTTTTTAAAAAATTTCAATCTGGAATCAGAATGCTGCGGATTCTGGCAAATGGTCCTTGTAATAACCTTTACCCACTCCGCCCTAGTCTGGTCCCTGTGCCCATAGCCCTTTTACCCCAGCACCACCCCTACAGACTGGGGACCAGCCCCCTCCCCTGCCTATGTCTCTCCCCAAATCCCTTTAGATGGGGAGGAAGAGGAGGAGAGGGGAGGGGACCTGCCCCCTCCTCAGGCATCTAGGAGGGCCCTGCCCCCACGGGCTTCACCCTTTCCTGCGGGCTCTCTCCCCGACACATTTGTTAAAATCAAACCTGAATAAAACTACAAGTTTAATATGAAGCCCCCCAACTTGGTTGCTTCTTTGAATTAAATGGGTATTGGCTGAGGGGATATCGCTTTGGTGGTCTTACACAAGCATACAGGTGAGTGTCACTCAGGTGTGTCACTGAGGTCATTATAGACTTTAACCACCCCAGCCTAGTTAGAAAATATATACAAATAGCAGGGACAAAGATAAGTAAATTTTTATTAACCTGGATATACACAAGAAACCCTCACTTATGGTGGGAGGCAGGGTGAGGAGGCAGAAAGTCGGATGATGGTCACTTGTGGTAGAATCGTGGATTCTGGCTGTGCTGGATAAAGGGAAGCCGAGGACCAGGTTGGCTGGTGGCTCCAAAGCCAGACTGGTGGCAATGAAAGGATGACTGTCAGAATACAGACTCTTTCTACTGCCCCCAGGGGGTACAGACAACCTGTCCTAAATCTTGTTTCTATGGTAGTGTACAGGATCACATTCTTACCTTTCCTGCTGGTTGGATCTGCACAGGGAGTTGGGGAGAAGCAAGGAGGCCAGGGGCTGGATGAAGAGCTTGGGGGTGCATGGGGCGCAAGGAGGACTGCAGAGAACAGAATGAGGGCCTGAGACATCTTGGGGTTCCCCATGGCATAGCTCTACTCTTGAACCTCCCAAGGCTCCATACTCACTGAGTCAGAGAAGCCAGTTTGCTGGTTCGCATGCTCCATCTGCTTCTGCAAGGTCAGGGCACTGCCAGGCTGGAGGAAGCCTGCATAAGGAGAAGGGAGTGTAAGACTGAACAGAGAATAAGGGAAGGGGGACCATGGAGCAAAGATCCCTGTATTGGATGTTGTCACCTGTCTGAGTGGGCTGAAAGTGGCCATGCACGGCATAGGGTTGTGGCTGTGGCTGAGACAGGTACTGTACCGCAGGAAACGCTGAAGGGGCTGAGGAAGGAGATACAGTATCTTATGAAATGTCTGGTTATGAGAAACCTCCCAAACCCTCGAAGAAAGTGCCCCCAGCTCTAATCCCACTTACCTCGGAGTTGCTGACTAGGACTATAGGCTGGTTGAGTGGGTCCATAATGAGGTGGGGGCTGAGCAGTCCCATAAGCACTGCCAGGACTGCCTTGGAACTGTCCATGCTCTGGAGTTCCTGCAAAAGCAGCTGTGTAGTGCCTGGTCTAAGGAGGGAGGGACATGAGAACTATCAGTAAGTGTATCACTTGTGTATACCCGATGTTCCATATACAGCAAAGTATATAGAATACTGAAATACTGGGTTTAGGGAGGTAGCATGGGCGTTGGGGGGAGACTAGACACAGAATCTTCCTCATCTTACAGTAAGCACTTGGGGTCCAAACATCTGTTTCGCTCTGTCAGCTGCCATTAGGGTGCCTGGGCGACTGTGTCCTCCAGGGCTCCCTAGAGAGGAAGAGAGGCTTTTAAAATAAAGGGAAAATGGTAAGGCTCAGAAGAGGCCATTCTGTCATGGTTTCATCCTTACCCTGCATGCTGAGGAGGTGTGTTCCTGTGTGAACTGTCAGACTCTGCTGGTATGCTGCTGGTGTCAGAGTGGTTAGGTCACTAGAGTGAGAAGGCAGGTTATAATCAGACATCTCTGGCATTGTGAAGATGCATGAGTTGCATGTGGGAGCCTCTGGCCCATTCTGAGCACCTGGTAGGTGTGCCCCCCCCCATAAAAATAAAACATTTAAATGAAAACATTTTGTTACCTGATCCTGATTACACTTTGTCCCCAATGTAACATTTTTTTTCCCCTTTAGGTTTTTGGGCCACACCTGGGGATGCTCCAGGGACCATATGGGATGCAGGAAACCCCAATCTGCTGCAAACTAACTATGCTATCTCTCCCACCCCCCACCTCCACCCCAATGTAACTTTCATCTAATCCCACCTCTGCTCTTTCCGCCTCCGTTTTTCTTCCTCATGTAAAACTTTCTTAAGCTGTAAGAAAAGCTGGTGCTTCTCTTCCTGTAGAGCCAAAAGCTTCTCCTGTAACTTCAAGATCTGGGAGGGGAGAGATCATGATGAAGGCAGAAGAATAAAAGGAAATTTCTGGGGGAGAGCAAGGGTCTGCTTACTTGTTCTTTGGTTTCCTCTAGTGACATTCTCTCCTCCATCTCCTTTTTCTTTCTTCTCTCCTGCTCTTCCTTCATTTTTTGTTCCATCATCTTGTCCACCTCTTCTTCCTCTAGAGGAAAGATCAGGCAAAATGGGAGAATGGTAGTGGTTAAGTTACTAGAAAGTTTGTAGTTTTTGTTTGGTTTGGAGTCGCACCTGGCAGCACGGGGCTTACTCCTGGCATTAGAGGGGTCATATAGAGTGCCTGAAATAATACCCAAGTAGGCTACGTGAAAAGCAAGGGTCTTACCCGCTGTCATCTCTAAGGACCGTGTGCGCGCGCACATGTGTTTTAAACATAAGATACTGAGACTGAAGACGAGCCGTTTGTCCCGACATTTTATGCTCTTGGTTAGGGATTCTCATCGCGGCAATAAAGGACAAGGGGGGGGGGTGATCTAGTCGGCGCTCTGCAAGGTCGTTCCCAGTTCACGTTTTCAAGTCTGAATTTCTAGCGCTGACGAGCATAAGTTGGCCTGAGGATGGAGGTCGGCCTGGGACAGTGTGCCACGAGCAGACCTCGTGTCCTCCCGCCCTAGCCCCGGCTCACCCTGCCGCTTGCGCTCCCGCTCCATCATGATGTGCCGATGCAACGCCCTGGCCATGGCGTTGGAAAGCTTGGGGCGCTCCAGGAGCGCAGGCATGGTGCTGCTGGGGGGGCGCGGGTCGTAGGCCACCGGCTCTGTCACTGCCTGCCAGACCTCTGTCGGGCCTGCAGGGAGGTGGGCACTCACTCGGCAGAGACCGCGCCTGACCCAGGCGGAAGCCCTCCCGCCGCTCCGGTCACGTGACCAGCGCTCGCCCTCGCACGTCCCAGACCCAGCTGACAGTCGCGGCGGCACAGCGTGAGCTGCGGGTCCGGGGCTTGGCGGTCCGCGAGCTCCCGAACCCCGCCACCTCCCCCGCCAGCCGGGCCACGGCTCTCCCTCCCCACCTGCCTTCTCTGGGCTTTCCCAGGGGCCTCCTCGCGCCTGGCTTTACGTCACATCCGGCAACTGGGCCCAATCAGGACTTCCGGAGTCGGGGCCGCCGTCAGCTTCCGGGTTGGACGGAGAAAAGGCGGAAGCGCCGGCGACGGGTGCCCGCGGCATCCAAACGCCTCTGCGGCGCCCTGTTGCAGGCGCACAGACCCCGCCCCCGCGGCGTTCTTGGCCCCCGCCAAGGTAATCTGGTAGGCCCAGATCACAGCACGCAGGGAAGCGTTGAGCGGCGCACGACAGACAGGCGGAGACCGGTACTCTGAGACGGCATTTATTGGCTCCTTAGAAATCAGTCAGTAACAACTGTACAGAGAGGCCCCTTCTTCCCTAGCATCCGCCCATACCCACTCCCGTCCCGTGGCCCCCGGAAAAAGCAGCTTCATATGAGGCACAGGGAGACTCCTCTGGGATTCACAGTAACCAGGAACAAAAACGGAAATAAATTAAGTGACACAGGGGAGGGAGAAATTGGGAGTCCTGTTCCCCAAATCAGTGCATGAAGAGGGGTTACCCATGGCCTGGAGCTGGGCTCCCCCACAGGCTCCCCCTGACAAGAAGTGCCTCTGGACTCAGGATATGGAGATGTGCTCCACTTGCCAGCTAAACTGACAGCCTGCCTGCATGCTCCCGTGCATCTGCCAGACTAGGCTGCCTTGGGGCATTGGAATGAGGTGGAGGCAGACTCTAAAGTCCATGGGCCCAGGCCCAACTGTGCTTGTTGCAGGGAGATCCCACCCTCATTCCACCCGTACCAGCAGGGCATAGAGGAGTGTGGCCCCCTTCTCCTTGGTTACCCACTCAAGTTCGGCTGGGCTGAAGTGAGGGTCAGGAGGTTCTTGAAGGGCAGCAGAAGGGGCGCTGGGAGTATAGGAGCCAGGACGCACACACACCTGGAATGCCACCTGGGCCTGGTGTGTCCGCTGAGATTTGGGGTCCCGGAATCTGTCAAGGAAGAAGCAAAAACGGTGTGAAAGCCTATAGTCCCAATCACCTCTTCCCAGGCAGGAGAGAAAGTACAGCAGATAAGGCATTGCATTGCATGCTGCCAACCCAAGTTTGATCCCTGGTGCCCCTTATGATCCCCTGAACCTGCCAGAAGTGATCCCAGTCATCCCTCCACTCCCCATTGCTTTTTTGGGGAGCCACATCGTAACAGTGCTCAGAACTTACTCCTAGATCTGTGCTCAGGGATCACTCTTGGAAGGGCTTGGGGTGCCCAAGATCTAATGAACCCTCCTCGGCCATGTGCAAGGACCCTGCATTATCTCTCCAGCTTCCTGTTCATCTGCTCTCTTTGTGATGTCTTATACTCCCCTAATCTTGCTGTTAGGAGAATCACCCTTACCTTACTGTGAACCAGTACCTAGTCATTTTTTCTACCGAAAACCATCTTCTTGGGGGTGGAGTGATAGTACAGTGGGTAGGGCGTTTACCTTGCATGCAGTGGACCCAGGTTCAATCCCTGGCATCCCATATGGTCCCCTGAGCCCACCAGGAGTGATGCCTGAATGCAGAGCCAGGAGTAACTCCTGAGCACTGCCAGGTATGCCCACCTCTCTTCCCCCAGCCTGCCCAAGAAACCTTTTTCCTGAGAACTTTCTCCTTTCTCTAAAAACTTGCTGAAATCCCACCACTTTCTGGGGAGTGGGGTGGCCTCTCAGGAAGTACTCAAGAGGCCAAAAGGCCACTTTGGGCAATACTCAGACCCACTGTGTGGACTGGACAGTTCAGTTCCGGCTGGAAGTGTGGTGCAGCGTGGCACAGGCCTAGAAGTGCTAGGGACCACCCACTGCCCAGTGTTGTTTGAACCATGCAGTATAGGGGATAGAACTCAGGACCGTGTGCTCATCAACAGATCCCAACAACCACCTATTTAACATGTCCACTCAGGTCCACTTCATCCCACTCTGCTTGTTTCCATAGTGCTACCTTGGAACGTTTAACAGACAGGGCCTGGAGTGATAGTACAGCGGGTAGGGCGTTTGCCTTGCACGCGGCCGACCCGGGGTTCGATTCCCAGCATCCCATATGATCCCCCAAGCACTACCAGGCATAATTCCTGAGTACAAAGCTAGGAGTAACCCCTGTGCATAGCCAGGTGTGACCCAAAAAGAAAAAATATATATATATACCAGATACCTTTTAGGCATAAACATTCTAGATGGGCCAGATCAATAGTATGGCATCTAGGGCATTTGCCTTGCACAAGGCCAACCTGGGTTCAATCCCCAGCACCCGGTATGGTCCTCTAAGCCCCCAGGAATAATTCCTGAGTGCACAGGCAGGAGTAAGCCCCGAGCCTGGCCAGGAGTGAGCAAAAACACAAAAAACATTTTCTAAAGTGACAAGACACATGTTCCACAAAAACAAGTTTCTTTTTCTGGCCTACTGATATTGCACCAAATTAGTGATACCCATTCAACAGATGTGAAAAAGGCGAGGCAGAGAATACGAGCAGCAAGATCAGGGGAAAGGGAACGGCGGAACCCAAGTGGCCTGTGCTCCTCCTGCGTACTCACTGCACTTTAGACGCCAGGATCTCAGCCCCAGCATATCGGAGGGAGGGAGAAAGCAGCACTGGAGGGGGCTGCTCCTCCCGAGGCGGCGCACAGTTCTCGCCGGGGTCCTCAAACCCTACCCCCGGCTCTCCCTTCAAGGGCCGGCAGCTCAGGATGGAGGCAGCACCTGTGGGGGGAGTGAATTCAGGGAAGCCTTGACGGCCGCCAGGCCAGGCCCGCCCTGTCTCTTTCAAGCACCACAATACCTTCTCCCAGCTCCCCTCGGTCCAGCACCCTCCGGACAGCTGCCACATTGCTCCCATGATATGCCATGTGCCACTTCTTGGTTAGTGTCCCAGCCTCCAGGCGGGGATTCACCCTAGGAGGTGGACAGAGGTCGTATGGCAAAGGTCACTGGCTTGCCCTAGACAAGAAGTACCGTCACTTCTTCCATCTACCCTCTTAGACATTTTTTCTTTCTTCACCGTGTATGTAAGCAAGCTCTCCACTGCCTAGATACAACCCTGGCCCCAAGACTTCTTTTTTGTTTTGTTTTGGGGCTGTGATCAAGCAGTGCTCAGGGGTACTCCAGGTTCAGTGCTTGGAGGTCACTCCCAGAAGTACTCAGGTATGGATCCAGACATCCAGCATATGCAGAGCATGGGTCCCAGCCTGTGGAAACTTCTCCCTGGCCCAGTTTGGGACTTTTGGGTTTGGGTTTTGGGTTGTGTTTTTGTTTTTGTTTTTGTTTGCTAGGGCCTTGAATTCACGGCCTTACACATGCAAGGTAATTGCAAGGTAACTGCGCTATGGCTGAGCTACATCCCTCCCTGGGATTTTCCTTTCTTACGGGGTAAAGAGAATAAGGGAAATATATGACTCTGGCCCCGTATGTACCTGAGGTTGAACCTGCACCAGCCAAAGGGGAGGGCGTACTCCCGAGGGGGTTCCCCACGGCGCCTGTGGGCCTCATCTCCTCGCAGCTTCCGGCAAGACTCACAGTAGCACAGGCTACGTTTAGGCGGAGGCATGAAATAATCCTCTGCAGAAGAGTGGAAGGCTTGGTGCTCTGGGTCTCAACCACGCAGCTTCCTTCCAACTGGTCTTCAGGGCTCTGGGCATGGTCGTCTACAAGTCCAGGTAATAAGGGGTTCTGGGGAACTGGGAACTCACCAGGAAGCAGCAACAGTTCTTGAAAACGGGAACAAAGGGCATGGTACTCGCAGCTCTTGAGAGGACTAGCATTGGGTGGTGGGCCCCAGCACACGCTCTCCTTGATACCTAAGGGCACAGAGCAGGGCAAGGATCATGGGAACCAAGGTAAGACGCACAGCAGGGACCAGGAGGTAGGATTCGGGTCCCTTTGTGCTGACTAACCATCCACCATGTCAGCTTTCTCCATGTCCCCTTGGGTTCCAGCACACTTCCCACTGGCAGCTCCAGGCTCAGGGCTCATGATTGTCACCTGAAGAGAAAGGGGTGGCCAGCAAGAGCATAACCAGCCCCCAGGTCGTATGATCATCACCTCATACCAAACTTCCCTTCCACTGGACAGCCTCCCAGGGACTCCCTCTTCCCTGCCTCCATTTCCACTGACCTGTTCACACTGCCCATAGAGATCCACAAGAGCATGGCAGGGCTGGGGGACGTCCGGCACAGCCACCCCCTGGTCCATCCCATTGATGTGAAGATGCAGCCCTCCGGAGCTGTCAAGACGCAGTCCCAGGATGGTGCCTTCAGGACAAGTGTCCAGGTTTGGCCCAAACTTCTCACAGATCTGAAAGGAAAAACCTACTGTCTTCCAAGAGATAGACTCCCACTGGCAGTTGTGACACCTACGTTCTCTATTTGAGGTTGCCAATCTCAGGGCTTTTTGCTTTTATACTTGCCCACTGCCTGGACTGTAAACACATCCTTTGTCTACTGCTTCAGTTACCTGGAGTTCTGTCCCTGCTGTCCCCTACCACCAAGCACTGTCAATGGACGGGCTCGCTACAGGAAGTCCAAGATTGCCCAGGGAGACATTCATGCCCTTGTCACCTACTATGCACTCACCCACTACAAGCTCATCAGTCCTGTCTGTCCTAACCATGCCCAAGCCTCATATAGGCTAGGCCTGTGCTGCTACTGAGCTGCCCGTCTTCCTTTTGGCCAGCTCCGCCTGTACAGACACTGCCCTTCCCCTTCTCTCTTCTCCGCACCTACCTTGAGACCATTGTGGAAGACTCCACGACCACGCAGCAGCCAGGCTGCCCGTTTGAGGGCACATGCAGAAGCAGGGAAGTTGAGCCTCTCCGGTGGGCAAGTTATGACTCCCAGGACAAGAGAAGATGTCCATTGGCGGTTCAGGAAATCAATCCGCACCTGAGAAATAAAGCAACTCCTCCCCAGTCATGACCTC